GAAAATGTAGAAAATTGGAAAAATAATTAAATAATACTAAGTAAATTGAAGGAATGAGGTTCTATAAAAATATTTATTGCATTTAAAATTTAACAAAATATAATAAAAACACATGAAAGCAAAAAAAGTCTAAAAATATGTCTTAGCTTTCATTTATCACAAAAAAAAAAAAAAATAGAAAATTGAAAATACAATACAATTATCTAAAAAAGTTGTATATTGAAGAAAAGAGATTCTATAAAAAATGTAATCCATTTAAAAGTAAACAAAATCAATAATAAAAAAATTACTAATCAAAATTTTCATACAAAATTTAAAATTCTAAAATCCATATTACTTATGTAGCATAAAATTTTAAGCTCGCGCTGCCAGATACATATATCCAATATATAAGCATTTTCTAACTAAAAGTGAAGTTTTTTTTCAATGTGAATGGTTTATATTATCCTTCGTCTATAAACTTTTGAAAAGTGATGTTACGTTATTTTGTGTTTTAGGTGACAATATTTGCACATTATTATTTTTTATGTACATTATTAAAATACTTATATTAGAAAAAATCAAAAAGCGAAGTTAAAAAAAAATTTTTTAAATGAAAACTTTTGAAGTGGTAAATATATAATAATTACTAATTGAGCTCTTAACCTTATTTTGTTATAGTTTTTAAACTTTTTTTTAAATATTAATATTAGCAATGCTTCGAAAAGCATGTATAAAAATGTCTTAACATTTTAGTGCAAAAACAAACACTAAAAATTTAAAAAAATTATTATTTCATTACAAACAATAAAAAAAATTAAATTAATAATTTATTCAATTACAAAAAAAAACGAAAAAATAATACCCATTTAATTCTCAATACTGTTAAATTCTAAAAAAGCTAAGTACAACACAAAAAAAAAATTATTTTCATTAAAAAAAGCTACTATTAAACTCTCCAAAAATCTAAGAAGTTGGTGTGCGTTAATAGTTAAAATGCAAATATATAATAATAACAAATACAAATAATTTCCCTTCAAAAATAATATATTTTTTAATAATGGCAGTTTTTTTCATTCCAAGTGAAATGCGTGAAATCTATAATTAATTGGCAGGTAGAGCACCAGAACAACACAAAACATCACGTCCAAGTGAACACACAACAAAACAGTGCAACAATTGCAATATCTCTTAACTGAAAAAAGGTACATTTGCGCAAAGAAAGTGTTAATAATAAAGCAATAATAATTAAACGCCAGCCACCCGACAGCGTCAACAGCTGGAGCACACAGCGGTAATCACAGTAATCGGTCGACACAATGGAATATATAAATATGGATAAGCGATTTAAAATCTCGAAAACGTTAATTGTAAGTAAACAAACATATTTTGCGAATTTCGCACGAACACAAAAGTTCCCACGGCGCGATTGCGCTTGTGCTTGTTGGTCGCGGCAGAATGAGAATGTAACAGAATAAAAGTGGCTTGCCTAATTGAAAGCGAGTTTGTGGCTTAAGTCTTTCGTTTCTTGAGTGTGTGTATGTATGTATGTAGAATGTGTGTGTTGTGTGAGTGAATGGCGGCAGTGAGCTGTTCAGCGTAGTAAATTATTTATAAAGGATAAAGATAACAATTAAATGGGCTGTGTTTGTAGGTATTGTGGGAATGTGCCTGATGGAACATAAATTTTTATATTTATGATATATTTTTTGATTAGAAAGTTTTGCGAGAATTTCGAAATATGTTTGTCGAAAATAAATTGCAGCATTTTTTTGAAAGAGAAGTTTGGATGAATTTTGGTTGAAAGCTTTTATTTTAGCGTGGCCAGCGTGGTTTTAATTTTTTTCAGTTTTTTTAGAACTTTCATTTATTTTCGATAAAACAAAAAGTCTTTAGGTATCCTAGTTTAGAGGCATGAATATCAGCTCATTTTTGAAGTGTAAAAAATGCAATTCAAAAAATATATTCAAAATTTAAAAAACTAGCAGCTGATTAAAGGGGATTGTGATTATATGAGACATACATATGTAGATAAGTCTATAGAGAAGACACTCTAAAAATTTCAGCTACATCAGTCCGGTAGAGCTGAGGAACCGTAGGTAACGTTTTGAAAATGACTGTTTCGAAAAAAAAAACATCTCCTCTTGCAGACATATTCTTGAAGAATTAAACTTAAAAAAAAAAAAAAACGATTTTTTTCTTATTTCTAGACTAGAAAAGCCCCTTAAACTCCTAAAAATATTTGAAAGCTTATATTTATATAAATTCTTTTGAATGTTTAATCTAAGTTAACGATTTAAATTGCTAAATCTCGTAGTTTTCAGTTAGATAGCAATATTATCTTTTCATGAAATTTGAAACCATTTTACCACAGCGCCATTTTTCGGATGCTTTAGCTAAAAAATTTTATCACACTATAACTGCTCTACGTTTTTATCTATAATAAGTAGACAGAATTGAAATAGTCATGCTATAGGGCTTTAAAGTTGTTAGGCGAGTCTAGAACCTTCAAAAAAAGGCCTAATTTTGAATATTTATTTTAAGAGAAAAAAGAGAAATTGAATTTATCACAGCTCTTGATGAACTTATCAATCGTTTCTTCGACGGGTACTGTCACTTCCATACAGACAACATGACCTAGCCAGCGTAGTCGCTGCCTCTTAATTCCTTGTACTATGTCATCGTTTAATCGACTGCGGACCTCGCCATTGCCAAAGCCCAAAGGACCATACTTTTTCCGAGTTGAGTTCCGAGTTTCTCGGTTGAGTTGATATGTTGTCAAATGATGCATTTATCTGATCTGAAGTGCTAGGCTTCCGACAGCTAGCTGGCTGTATATAAGAAACGCTGCCAGGGTGGCTAGCTAGTATCCGTGTGACTCGGTTGAGTAGATGTGATATGAATAAGTGATTTCATATAAAGTGTTGGGCTTTAGGCTATATAAGAAAGGGAAATGATTCCGCGTTGGATTTTGAGGCTAATTGTGTTGTTGGTGTTAATGCTGGTTCCAAGACGAAGTTATCTACGACTTCAAAATCATAACTGTCAGCAGTGACGTGGAAGTTCGATGACTGTTTGTTTGATGAAGACATTTCATCTTGTCCTCTTTCAGAATCAGACTCAAATGTAGTTTAAGTCACAAAAATACGGATTTTTTGAAAATTAATAAAATAATAAATTTTTATTTAAAAATATGTTTGGAACCGCGAAAATTCAGATTTTTTAAAAATCAATGGTATGATAAATTCTTGTAAAAAAAATTTTAATTATTCATAGCTAACTATTAGTCACTGAACTCATAATTTTGCTCCGCACTGTATTATTTTATGGACGCCATTGCCGGCCACAAAATAAATTTTACTGCAGTAAAATATTCAAAAACTCATATGCACACAGGCAGCTTATGGCCATGCAATGAATTACGTGCATATAAATTACAAAATACGGAAAATGACAACAATAACAATAGAAGCAAGAGCAACTCGCATTTATGCCGCATGACTACGCAATCGTTTTCATTATTTTTTTCATTTTTTCATTTTTTGAAATATTCATATTTTTCTACTTCATTTATCTTTTCTCTTTTCACTTTTTTCCCATTTATTTCGCCTTTATGCTCCTTTTATCGCTCACACATGCCCATACACTGTCCGTGAGTATAGTATTTCTCCATTGTTGTTTATACAGAAAAGTTTCACTTTCTTTGGCAATGCGAATATGAACACCAAAGTGGAGTGTTTACGCACCAAAAACAAAGTAAAACCAACAACAATATAAAATAAATCAAATCACTATATTACCGTAAGCGCTGGGAGGGAAGCGGAGTTTCAGGCGCAGCACAGCGCTGAGCAAAAGAGAGTAAACTTTTTCACGTTTCGTCTACATTGCTTTATATGTGTATATATGTATATAATTGTGTATGTTTGAAGTATGTATTGTATGTGTTATATGTGTGGCGTGTAGAGCATAAATCGTCGTGGAATATTTGGTGCGCTCACCGTTTTGAATAGTTAAGCGATTTGACACATTTCTCTTGCAGCACGATTTTTTTGTTGTTTTTGCTATACATAATGCTTTTATTTTTTTTATTATTATTACGTTTTTAAAACTAACTGCCATACAGATATAACGAAAACAAACGTTGGTATGCAAAATCGTTGGAAGCCACCAAATTTCCTTCGTATTGCCAGCGAACAAGCGCGTGTCGCAATTGTCGCAAGGCGGTGTAAATTGGTAGGGAAGTGAAATTGCATGTCGCCAACTGAGTCAGCTGTGCGTACATAATTAACAATATTTTTGAAATTCTTTTTGTTTTCTTACTTCTTAGTCGCCGCTTTTATGGCGCGGCTAAGAAAAGTGAAGTGACATTTGCGAAATTCAGCAATTGTTGCCTAAATTTTGGTCAAGCATTGTGTAAAAGAAAAATTATAATGAATTATTATTGTTGTTTTTTCGCTTAGAGGCCGCCGTGTGATATGGACTTTAGGCAATTTTTTAATTATGTCCAGTAAAATTTTTTCATGGAAAATATATTTACTTACATACATATGTATATTTTGTAGTCGAAAAAGTATTTTCGTATTTCTAATTCGAATTTAATTCCTCAATATTGGCTTTAGATCCATAGTCTCTGAAACAAATGTGTTCAGTATAATCCGTAGAACACCTTCAGTAAGTTGTCAAATGAAAAATTTATTATACAAGATGCCCCTTGGTGGCGCCATCTATATATCGACCAGTGCGTTAGAATCTCCTATTTTATCGATTGTCCAGTGAGAATTTCATGACATTTCGTTGATTGGACGGGAAGTTATTGCGTTTTAAGTGTGAGTATGTTCGTGCTATCGGCGCGAAAATTTAGCTTCGTACAAAGAGCCAACATTAAATTTTGTTTTAAAATTGGTAAAACTTTTACCGAAACATTTCATCAATTGATAAAACAAGTTTATGCCGATGATTGCCTAACACGTAGCAGAGTGCGCGAGTGGTTTCAACGTTTTCTAAGTGGTCGTGAGGACATTAAGGACGATCAACGTGTAGACCAATCAAAAACCGTATTCACCGGAAATTCCGTCGACACTCATCAAAAATCAGCCGAAATCATCACTGAAATTCAAAGAAATGGAATTGAGCATCTCCAAAGCATTTTCACCGAACATTTGGGCTGTCGAAAGGTGTGTGCACAAAAATTGCTCAGAATCCAACATTCGATGGACGATTATTTAGCCAAAAATCACATTTTAACCATTAACCACTCCCCGTATTCACCTGATATGGCACCGTGCGACTTTTTCCTTTTCGGAAAAATGCATTTGACCATGAAGGATAGCGTTATGCAGGCGTAGAGGCCATTCAAAAGGTCCCTTGCATTTCGATTGACAAATATTTGTATTAATTATTTTCAAAATAACACCTCCAATACAATGCCTTAGTTTCTTATGCCAAGAATAACATGTTCCTCTCTCTTTGTACTTATTATTTTCAGTATAATAGAATATTTAGAATATAAATACAGACCTCTTATGTAGTATTGAATCTAGAGATCGAGTTAGTAAGGTTAAAACTGCATTCGGGTTTTTTTAGTGGTAAAAATCTTTTGCTGATAAGAATGCTCACTTCACTGGTTCAAAGAAAGTGAAGTAAAACCCTCTTTATATAATCGTTCAATGCTACTAACAGTGCCACTAAATGCTAAGTAAAATCATGGATATGCTATCTCAACAAATTTGACCAGGACTGGAGAAAAACAAGATCTTCGCACACTTTAATATAAATCCTTATAATCGTCTTCAAAATCTTCCTCCTTAATCTCATTTTCATCTCCTCTGAATGATTGTTAATGTATTCAATGTACTGACGATGCGTTTACCAAAGCTGTTTTTGCGGCTGCGGTGGCTGAGCACTAACTTCCGTTTCGTATTTGGTCAAGAAGTTAGTCCAAATCAACCAAGAATGTGGTGACGCTTTATCTTGGTGGAAAATCCATTAATCTTCTGTGCAGCGCTTCGGTTATTTACGATGAATTGCTTCACGAACACGCCTCAAAACGGCTAAGTAGTATTTTTTTGGCCGGTCAATCTCGAGGAACAGATTCACGGTGAACCACACATCATTTATCAAAGAGAGCGACGAGTATTTCCTTAATTTTTGACCGACATTGATGTAATTTTTTTAAGTTTCGGCGCATTATTGAAGAGTAATTCGCTACCTCGTTGGTCAGTTTGGAAGTCATAATGAAAAGCTTCTTGTCACTGGTAAAGATAAGTTACATTGTCAAGAACATCTTTGTCAATATCTGCTCGATGCCGTTTTTGCAAAAGATTTGTTTTTTTTTTTTGTTGTAGTATGAGTGCAGCATTGGCACGCTTCA